ATTTAATTAGTCTCTTATCAGTTTGAAATAAGAGGTATGAATTTAAGATCTCAACACCAGGACTGTTTTCCCTTGAATGTTCATTTACTTTCAGAGTAAAATATTCAGTAACGTTTTTCCTAAAAGATTGTATGTGAACTGAATGCTATTTTAAATATAATGGATGATAGAATTTAAAATTCCTATTAAAAGTCCTATCATATAATACAAATCCACATTTTAAAACTCTAGTTTCATTTAAACAAAAGTATTTTCAATTACAGTGAAGAAAAAAATCATTGTACTTTTAGTTGGAAATTCCAAGTATATGAAGTTGATAATAATGTTTAAAGACATTATAATTTTGAATTAATACTAAGGTGTTTGAACAGAGAATGATGATACAGTCATGAGAAATGAATCACAGCCATGAGAGAAAGTATTGATTTTATCATTATGAGTAAGAATAAGTGCCTGAATTATTCAATGACAACGGATATAGAGCTTTTAGTTGAAATCAGTTTGTTTTTAAAATTTCATCACTTAATTTTGACAAAAGCCAATATGGTATTCATAAGATTTTTCTGATCTCAAGTACTTCATGGCAAATATGCTCTAAATTATTTCACATAAATAATTCTGACAAAGTAATATATTCCAGTATATATGTTTATGAAGGGCATAACTTATCATCTCTTCAAATAGAATGCTACCTATTCTTCTACTGATGTCCACTGTCCAATCTGAGGGCACCAGATCATTCACAGTATACACAGTTTTCAGTTCATTCATTCATTCTACAAATATTTATTGGTACTGTGCCATATGACAGACACTAACTAGAATAAGACTAACGTAGTAAGACCTATTTCTCATAAACAGGTAAACAAGCAAGTAAGAAAACTTCAGATAGAGGTTAAGTGCTAGGAGAAAGACAGAATAAGACAATGTGGTGGTGGCTGGCACTGGGGAAAGGGGGTAATCTAAGCTGGGGGGAGTTGTGGAATAATCTGAGCCCAATGATCAAATGAGGGTGCAGAGGGAAATGAATCTGAGAGGCAGGCAAGGAGAAAATCATAAAGGGCTTGAGTTTCATTCCAAGTGCTATGGGAAGCCAATGAAGAGTCTTGAGAAATAACATAAACTGATTTGTGTTTTAAAATAATAACCACAGCTTCTAGAAAATGAATGGGTGACAAAAATAAAAGCAGACAGATCCGTTAGGAGGTTATTATAGGTGAGAGATCATGGTGACTTGTACAAGAGTGGCAAAGATGAAGGGAAGTAGATAGAATTAAGATATATTTTGGAAACAGAGCCTGAAGAATTTGCTGGTTTATTGGAGGGCGGTGCATGTAAAGGATGGTGACAGAAAGAGAGCAATTAAGATGGGAAGACTTGGGAAACATGCCTTACAAATCTAACAATATAATATGTTAACTCTACACTATCTGTTGAATCAACATAACACCAACTATGCATTAAAGGTAATTAAGCATCTTTTCTTACAATAACCAGGTAGTTTTGCAATGTGATAGAATGTTATGTCATATTTTAACCTCAATTTTAAACTAAAAAATATAATTATCTACAATTTAAGATTAATTTACCTAATTATTTTGAGCATCTGCAAATAATTTAGAGTATACTGGCCAGCACCATTCAGTTCTGTATTTTATGGGAGTGTGGAAATCAACTTTCCACACCTCAGTCCTAATTGGATGCAGGGTTCTCAGGCATGTCTCTACCTTCAGGCCACAAGTTCGCAAAGCATTTCTGGCTGTATTATAAATCAGCAAATTAGTAAGCATTCCTCTCTCATTTTTTGACTATGAGTTCCTCCCAAAGGAGACCAAATTCTTAATCCTTGGTGGCCCCAAACAATAACCAACTCAGGCAATATCAGGTAAGTAAAAACCCACCAAGGTAGGAATATCCTCTGACATCTCTTTTTGAATTTCTGGACTTGGTAATTTTTTGGCTGACAACTCCAAAGACATTTTTTAACATCTTTATTAAGCTCTAATTCACATAACATCAATTCACTCATTTAAAGTGTACAGATTTCCAGCGAGAAGATTTGTTATAGCCAAACTGATCTCTCTGTTCCTCCCAAAGATATATGCTTCTCTATCATTCCATTTCCCTTAAACATTCACTAAACAATCATTGTTGAGTATTTACTATATGCCAAGCATTCCTATCTGAAATAATGTCTCCTTTCCATTTCTACAGCCTTAACTCTGACTTGAAGACCCAGTTTAATCATGTTGATCATCTCAGCTCTTGGACTCTCTCCTTCTCTCAATGTCTGTAGGTTATTGGACATTAAGTATCAGCCATTTTGTTACATTGCTGGTTAACTTTCACATGTGCATTGTCATTGTCACCTAGCACTCTGGCTTGGCACCTCACACATTTTATGCATTTAATGTATATCTTGTGGAGGATGATAAAACCTGGTCCTTGGAAAAGCTGTCTTTGAATAACCCTCTTCCTTCTAAATCCACCAATAGTGTAGTCATAGGACCTGAAAGCTTTTAAATGATCTTGCTGACATCTGAATTGTACTACAGATTCTGTGACAAGGTCATGTTGCTGGAACCAGAGTTCCCTGCCAGGGGCTGGCACGTTGCACTTTGCTCAACAATGGAGGAGGAAATTATCTGAGACGGCTTTGAAATCAAGCAGATGCAGATTAGTGCAATATTCTATGTCAATCAGGTTTCTGACCTAAAAAAAATGTGTGTGATTTCTAGCAATCAGGAATGAGTGGTTTTTCAGAAATGAGTTAGTTGGGATACTCTTACCATTACGGATAAAGTGACAGAATAATCTGGGAGAGGACACACAGTGAGCTACAGACTATAACCATGCAATGATCTCTATACGAAAAGCAGTTGTCATTTCCTGTATGAATGGCATACCTTGTCAATTTTGCTGATGGCTTGTTAATGGGACACACACACACACACACACACACAGAGAAACATATAAAATGGATTGCTCTCCATTATGGAAAACAGAGGTAATCTCTGGAACTCCCTTCAGTTAATTATTATTTGTAAATAAGCAGAACTGAGCTTCATTTGAGGGCTTGTTAGGAATTACAAAGGTGATTGTTCGTAAATCGAATACTGGCATGCTGCTGTGCACTGATTTTGAATAAAAACTGGCTCTGGCTTTATATAAAATTACACATAAAATGTTAATCATAAAAGCACAGCATTATCTCTAGTTTCTGTTCACTAACTTTTAAAGCTGTTTTTCTGTTGTTACTGTTTTTGTTGTTTTTTACTGTCTCCATGTTGTACTTACCCTTTTAATTTTGTTCCAGACTCATATTCAGCAAGTCAGAGGACGCCTGCTTTATACAGGAGGTCCTGGACCTGGAAGAAATAAAAATGGCCAGTGATAACTGTCCTAAGAAGACTGCACGCTCATTTCTTACTTTTAGAAGAACATACTTGCAAATCATGACCATCACTAGAACACAGTTATCTTAAGCCCTGCTCTACCCTTGCTGATGTTCCATGAATACTGGAAATACATTTTCTTTGTTCTAATTCCAGCCTCTGAATCAGAGCCAAATAGAGTGGGTTCTTCATAAATATGCATTGACCACCTGACAGGAGTATTAATGTAGGGCAGGGCCCTGATTAGCAAATGTTACCTGCAGGAGGCAAAGGAAATACCACAAATGAAGATAAGATGCTATTAGTAGATTTCATTTTTTCTTGAGGCTTGGGAAGTCACTATCTCTGTGGTCAAACCTCCCCAGATCTCTCCTTGCAGAATCTGAAAGCAGCTCATATAAAAGGCCTCCATGTAAGGCCTCTCTTCCACTGGGTGCTGGAGGAAGAGCACAAGATGAAGGAAGAAGGAAACTGCTTCTAACTTAATTTATTCCTTTCTTCCCATTTCAGCAGCTCACCAGAATCTACGTAAAACCTTACATCCTAACTCGAAGATAAAATCAGCAATAAAAAAAAAAATACCTTACTTGTTTCCATAACTTGTTAGCATAGAACTCGGTATATAAAAGGTAATGAGGTTACGATGATCTCTAGGATACGAAGGAGATTAAAATCTAGTATTTATTTATGGATTTTATATTAGGACACTCCCCCCCCCCCTTTTCAGGTACAACTACTGCACCCAACTTCCTGCAGGTTTGAGTAAAAGCAAAAACCCAAAACAAAAAAAAAGTGATTTTTGAACCACCTGGCCGAATAGTTGAATTTATTGCAATTCCCGAGCTTTGTCGGGCTGCAGAGCACGCACTGGCGGGACGCACCGGCCCACTCGCAGGCTGTCCAGACGCACCCAGGCACCAGTGGCAGGAGGAGCACCAGCTCCGGGGAAAGCCCGGCCTCAGAGCCTGTTGCTCGTGGGCCAGGCAATGGAGCAAGTGCAGCTCAGGCGGCGGGGGATGGTGGCCGCCCTGGGAGGCTAGAATTCCACCCAGGCGGCGAACTCGCGGGTTCTTTCCATTGCCCGGGCTGGGACTTAACCCTTAGCGTCCCAACCTCTCTCGCCCCTCGCCTGCCCACTCCGCCCCAACACCACTTCCCAGACCACGGACAACTCCATTGTTATTACAAGCCAGAGGGTAGCAGGAAGGGATACGCGGAGATGCAGGCGCCAAAGCACCCCTTCCTTTCTGGGCAAGACTTAGGAGAGTCAGAACAGTGTTGAGAAAGGACAGGACGAGCCGAAGCTGCAAGGCGGAGCAAGGGCGCCCAGCGGGGACGAGGAGGCTGGGAGCTGACCACCCTGCCCCCTCAGGAATGGTACGGTCCGGAGCAAGGCGGGGAGGAGGAGGTCCTCCCGGGTCTCTCCCCGCCCCTCTCCCTACTTCGCCGCCGCGCTGCCGCGGGAGCGAGTGAGCGCGCGCCCCGGCGACCCCTCCCCCGGCGCGGGCACCCGAGCTCCTCCCCTCGCCGAGCCGCCCCCTCCGCGGCTGCAGGGAGAGCTCGCCTAGCTCTGCGGACGCCGCCACCTTCGGCCCCTCTTCTTCCTGCTCCGGCGTGCGGGGGCAGTCCGGCGGCGGCGCTGCCCTGGGTGGGCGACTGGGCCCGCGCGGCGGCTGAACACTCGGCGCGGCGCAGCCAGGTCTCCAGCCTGTGCGGCGCCGTGACAGGTGCAGAGTCCCGATTAAGGCTCCACCTGCGGCGGTCGCCGCGATGCCCACCATGCGGAGGACAGTGTCGGAAATCCGCTCCCGCGCGGAGGGTGAGTGGCCGCCGCAGCGCTGGGCTGTGTGCCCAGCGTGCACGGGGGTGGCTCGGGGCCAGCTTGGGGTCGGGCCGTGCGTGTATTAGGGAAAATATGCCCCGTCCCACCTCTTCCCCTAGGTAAGTCTGGCGGTCGCGCCTGGTCCCTGGCGGACCCTTCTCGCTGCGCCGCCTCCAGTGCACTTGCAGACCCCTTCCCGGCTCTAGAACCCCGGAATTGGTGTCCTCGGCCGGAGCCCCAAGTCTTGCTTTACACCGCAGCGTGACCATTCGGTTCCTGTCACCGAGCGCTCTCGTCCTGCCCACCGCCCTCCCCACTAGCGCACAAGCCTTCCCGTCTCCGCTTGGCTTCTTCACCCTTGTGAACAGATCCCCAGCCCGCCGCCCCCGCCTCCGGCACCCACCTTTTTGCAGCCCCCACACCACGGCTCCCAGAGGAGGGGAGTGCCTTTCCCAGATGCAGGATCCTTTGCTCTACAGCTCCTTGTCTCTTAGAGCGTGAGGAGCCTTAATTGGGGCTGGGTGCTCAGCGGGTTCTGGGCAGTACAGTCTCTGCAATTCTCTTTCCTGCCGTGGAATCTCTACCCAGCTTCCATCCGAGATTTCGGTTTTTTTCCTTTTACCTGAGATCCTCACTTTGGCCACCTGAGCTGACTTTTTAGCAAGGGGGAAGCTGTTTTCTTTGCTCCACCCAGGGCCAGCTGTTGAATTGCTACACCTGTCAGCACTGAGCAACAGATGTCCGAGGGTATAGCAAGTCAGCTTTTGGAGGCCGAGGCATCCTCTTCAGCTTATCTGAGGAGTTCTCAGCATTCTTCCTGGCAAGTGATGGTCACTCGGTAAATATTTCTTGATTTTGCTTATGGCAAAGCCAAGATTGTACATATCTAGAGATTTCTTTTTCTTGTTTTTCTGTCCCATAAACCAGTACTTGAATCCTGCAAAGAGTGGAACAACATGTTTTTGAGAACTAGTCTATCTTCCCATCATCCCTGCTCCCCCACCCCATCTTTTAATGTGAGGCAGGTGGGAAAGTGGTTTTAGAAAAAAGATACAGCAGTTAGGAGAATAGGACTCCAGGGCTTGCGACAAGCGATTTTATTGTTTTTCCTCCTTAGAGTCTTCATGTAAAAATATGGGGGCATTGAGTTCTAATATCTATGGTTTACTGATTACAGCGTTTAGGCAATACTAAATGAAACTGCTCGGAGTAGGTGTCTGGGCAAGAGTCACAACTGACCTGTGCCTACACAGGAATTTAGTACATACTTCTTGTTATTTGTACTGTAATGAAAAAAGTATATGAGACATTACAGTTTTAGATACAAGGTGAATAAAGGGTCGTGTTATTTTTGAAATGTACACAGTAAAAAATTCATTCTTTTTTTTTTTTAATACCTCTGAGTGAAATGGATGACTATTCCTAGTCACTACCTGAGTAAGCCATACAGGTGATGAAAATATAGTGGTAATAATTGGGATTGTTGTTTCAAATAGCAACCGTTGATGAATCATATATTGTGGGAAATGAGGAAAAGAGAAAAGACCAGAAAACAATGCAAAACCAGTGGCATATGAGAGGATTTTATTAGTATTAAAAGGCTACAGTATTGTTTTTGGTTGTCCTGTGTATTTTTCAAAGCATTTTCTCAAAGATTGCCTTATGGACTCTCACAACATTCCTGGAGGTAAGTGAAGGTGGTCTCATCTGATGGTTGAAGGAATTGTGGCCCAGGTGGTTGAGGTGCTTGCCCAAGGTCACGTAGTTAGTTCAGTGACACATTTGGATGTAGAGCTCTGGGGAAATAAGGACTGTTTTTTATTTAATCTTTGTATTCCCTGTGCATGCAGCACAGTGTCAGGCAATGACCCTTCCCTCCCATATTGGTTGGTTTCAGTTTATTATGTGCTTGGTATTTTGCTCAGGACTATGGTGAGGGCAACATAAATAATGCCTGTGGGCTGGATATGTGGCTCACTGCCCACCCTGCCCACACTTTTCTTTCCTAAGGAATATTCTCCTTTGACAGTTCCTGCTGCCTAAAGGGCCTTGTTCTGAACTGCAGCCCCTTTGGCTCGGCTGATTGGACTAGGACTAGTCATGGCTCGGTCATGGACTAGGACTAGTCATGGCTCGGCTCATGACTCAGGAGTAGACAACCCATAGGTGGTGCAGACACTTGTAACCTTGTGGTTTGGCTCAAAAAGGTTCTCTATGGTGATCATCTCTATTGTGGGAAGAGTTAAGCTTAGAGACGTAGGGTGAAAATTGAAGCAGAAAGGGGCAGAGGTGAATAGGCTAGTAGAGGAGAGAATGGCTGACTCTAATGGGTCCTGTGAATGCTGCTGACGTGAGGAAGCAGGAACTATGGTGAACAGAGAAAAATAGGAGAGAGAATGGATTAGATGGAGAGAATGGGGCAGAGACACAGATGCTGAGAAGGGGTAGCTCGACCTTGGAAATCCTCCCTGAGCTTGCTAGTCCCTGTTCCCAAGTACTGTTAGAATAAGCTCTTTTTTCCCTTGAAGTGACTTGAATGGGTTTCTATTCCCTGCAACCAAATTGGCCAGATGTGTGGCTGTCCTGTGTGCAAGTTATTTACATCCAAATTGCGGCTAAAGAACTTCTGTGAAATAATGAATAAATAGTCTAAGAGTGGATGTTATTAATAGAACATGGTGCTTGCTATGGGAAACATAGGTCCCATTGGCAGTCAGGACATAGAGCATGAGGCCTGCTCAGCGAACACTTCATTGAGAAATAATTTGGGATGAGTGCTTCCCAAACTTTAAGGTGCACACAGATCATCTGGGGATCTTGTTAGGTATAGATTCTAAATCAGTAGGTCTGGGGTCGGGCTGCAGCTGTTGCATTTCTGACAAACTCACAGGTAATCCTGGATGGCTCTGGCCTTCAGGTCTGAGTAGCAGGAATCCAAAGGATATTGCCTTTTTCTGTGTTTTTTTTTTTTTTTCCCAATAGTTGGGACGATATTGAAGGTAGAGAGTAACCAATTGAAAAACTGGTGAACGTCAACATGGCTTATTTGAGAGATCTTAAGGAAATTGGCCAGGAGCAGAGGGAAGTTTGGAAAGAGAGGGTATAAATTTGGATAGGTAAATTCCTGCTAGATTACAGGGCATTTCAAATGCCAAGATGAGTCATTTGGATATAGAATCAAGTATTTGAAGATCTAATCCATTTCTCATTCAAGCATGATGCCAGTGCATGATATCTAACAGGGCCAGTTAGGAGCCAAATCATCACAGGGGAACGACATCCCCAAAGAAGTGTCTTTCGAAGATACGCCTGGAAGCATGTTGGATGGTTTGGACAGAATGGCACTGTAGACAGACTCTGTCATTAAAAAAAAAAGGAAAAGAAAAAAGTCTAGTAATGACAAAGGCCAGGAGTATTTTTGGAGTGGAAAAGTGAGAATGGGAAGGGAGGAATCAGATTATTTCTAAGTAAAACAGAAGCTCATTCAGCAGATATCTGTTGAGCTCCTACAAGTACTGTTCCTGGCACTTGGGATACATCGGTGAACAGAATAGAAAAAGCCCTGCTCTGGAGGTGCTTACATTTTAGAGGGGCAAGAGACCAGACAAACACAATACATTAACAAATTGTAGAATTTGTTATGTAGTAAGTACTATGGGAAATAGAACAAGAAGGTAAGATGCATAAAATTGGTGGATGGATTGCAACTTTAAGTAGGTTGGTTAGGTTGGCCTTCACTGAAAAGATGACATGGACCAAGTGAAGGAGTTAGCCCTGTTGGGATCTAGGGAAAGAGTGTTCCAGGCAGAGGGAACAGTCACAGCAGACGCCCCCAAGGCAAGAGAGTCAGGAGGGTTAAAGGAACAGTGTAGGGGAGAATAGTAGGAAAGGAGGTCACAAAGGTCACACCGTAGGACATAGCAGTACAGGGCAGGAGATAAATGGATTAAAATGAAAGGAAGTTTTCAAGCAGTAATTTTGAATTTTAATGTTTACAAGATCTCAGGTATCTCATTGAAACTATAATTTCCTAGGTGACTCATGAAGATTTTCTTCAGTAAGTCTGCAGTAGGACTGGGAATCTACATTCTTAATGAACTTGCTCGGATGTTCTGGTATAGGTGAAACACATTTTGAGGAACTCTGCTTTAGTCTTAAAACTGCTTGGGAAAATCTATTAAGATAAGGAAATTGAGAAGGAGGGTCCATACAATAAGAAGTAGGAATTGTGGGATATCCAAAGGGATGTGTTTTGAAGATACTTAGAATTGGAGGTTAGATGTGGGCAAAATCAAAGGGGAATCTTGAGTTCAGAGGTCATAGTTGAAACCCTGATAGTAGACATATTTTCCAGAAAGCAAAACAGGATAAAGCTGAAAGCTAAGAATTCTGAATTTCTTCGTTTTTACCCCAGCTAAATCAAATGGTCTCTCAATACAACATTAGGAGTGCTAAAAACAGGGACTAAAATTATGGTGGCTTACACAAAATTTTGTCACTCCGGTAAAACTAGTATGGAGGTAGGCAGTCCAGGTCAGCTATGCACAATTCATAAAGTCAGAAGGAACATTGTCTCTATGCCTTTCTGCTTCAACATCTTCCATGAAGTCATAACGTGGTTGCTGGGGTTCCAGCCATCATGGAAAAGTTCCAGGTAGGAAAAAAAAAAAAACACAAAAAAAAAACCAGAAAGATGAGAGACCAAAGGGTTTACCTGGAAGTACCACACAAAGACTCATCCTAATTTTACTTTGGCTTCCATCTGCAAGGGAAGCTGGGAAATGGAGTTTTCTAGCTGGGCACATTACTCAGTGTTTTATTACTAAAGGAAAAAGGAAGAATGGCTGGTGGGTGGGCAGCTAACAGACACAATCACCATCAGGTATTCAGATTGTTATAAGGCTCTTGCTTGCAATAAAGGAATGTTCTAGAGCTCATATACAAAATAATAAGCATTAGGTTGTTCAAAACTAAGGAAATGTACACATACATGTCCA